TCCCCACCTGCAGGAGAAGCAGGCACCTGGCAGGGCAGCAGGCTGACCTGGGGAGGCCGCCCAGCTGTGGGGCACTGCCCAGAGAGGGCACAGACGTGCCGCAGGAGGGCAGGCACTGGCCGAAGGCACTTCGCGGTCCCTGATGGCCTGCAGGCGGCATGGGCTCCGGGCACAGCGGGTGCACAGCGCCAGACACACAAGCTGGGCGATGCCCCGCTCCCAGGAAGAGAACATTCCTGCCCACAGGGCTCCCCACCCTCCGCTCCTCAGCACCTCACTCCTCCGGAATGCTCAGGCACGTTGCCCGGGCAACCAGACGCCAGCGAGCGCGTTGCCATCCTTCAGCCGCCTGCCAGCCCCCGAGGAGCCTGCAAGCAGCCGCGTGCCTGGAGCTCTGCAGACTGGCTCCGAGCTCCTAGGGCAGGGGAGGGGCCCCGGGCCACGACGGGAGGGACCCCCGGGTGGCTGCTGGCCCCGGGACCGCACCCTCCCAGGATGGTAGTGCCAGAGAACCTGGAGCAGCCTGGAATCGGGCTAGGGGTTGTCGGGGCCTTTGCCACACCAGGAACCCCAATGTCCCCCCTGCCTCTGAGATTAGCGTACCTCCTAATGGAGTGAGTGCTGGATCCAGAGGAGGACAGGATGTTGGGGAAAGTCCTCTGGAGTATTTTTCCTTTTTTAAATATGTTTTTATTGATTTCAGAGAGGAAGGGAGAGGGAGAGAGAGAGAAACATCAGTGACGAGAGAGAACCATCCATTGGCTGCCTCCTACATGCCCCCCCCCTCCCCCAATGGGATGGACCCTACAACCTGGGCATGTGCCCTGACCGGGAATTGAACCAGGATCTTTTAGTCCATAGGCCGATGCTCTATCCTCTATCCACTGAGCCACACCGCCCAGGGGTCCCCTACCCGGAGTTTTACTCCACCAGAGGCCCTGGCTGGCGGAGCCACCATTGTCCCCTCAGCACAGCCTTGGGGTCCGGGGCGTGTTCTCAGACAGCCCTTGGCCTCCTGTCTTTGGGAGGATCGGAGCGCCATTGCGTTCCAGAAGGCGGCTCTGCGTGCGAGTGGGGATCCGTGCCTGCTCCCCTCGGGGCTCCCCCGGTCCCTGCGGAGACAGCACCTGGAAGCACTGGGTACCCAGGTTTCCAGTGCTCTCCAGCCCCACAGATTGTTCCCATGGCAACTGCCCCCCAGGCCCCCAGCCCCGGGGGCAAGCGCCACCTGAGGGGGAGAGGTGCCCGTCTCCCTGACAGTCTCCCTGACAGCGCCTTCCTTCGTGGAGAAGAGAGACAGATCGCAGCCACTGCGTCTCACCGAGCTGTGCTTGGGGGAAGAGTTCCGTGACAATGTCAGCAGGAGAAGCAGGAAGCTGCAGACCGGGGGAGGGGGAGGCAGAGCCCGTTCTCCCCTGGGAGGCCATGGGCGGGGGGCAGCATGGGCTTCCAGAGTCTGGGCTGGGACCCTGCGGAGCCCGGGGTGGGGGGCACCAGGCCCCCTCTCTCAGGGCGGGCTGGCGCAGGGATGGAGCTGAGGCTCGGTGCTCCTGCGGGTGCCTGCAGCTCCGAGGCGTGGCTCTGGCTCCCGGAGCCCCCGGCCGCGCTCTCCGCGCCTTCCCACACCCGCTTCCTGAGCGTCACAGACACGCCCTGATCCTCGCCCTCTAAGCGTGTGCCGGCCGATGGTGGTAGGATGTTCGCAGGTTGTGCAACCATGCCGCGAGTCATTCCAGAACACGCTGTCACCCCTAAAGACCCCCTGAGACACCCCGACGGCTCGCCCGGCCTCCCCACTTTCCAGGTGAGCGCCCCCCTTCAGAGAGGACGGGCAGGACGCAGAGGGAACACACCAGGCTCCCCGCCCCGGCGGCGGGCTGGCTTTTCTGCATAGCAGCCGGGTGGCCTGGAAATGAGGGGTTTCCATGGTAACCAATTACAGCGCAGGATTGGTGAAGAGGACAGGAGTACCCCGTGTGTGAAGTTACGTGGGGCGGTCAGGCCCGGGCCCGGGGCTGCTTAATTTCCCGGAGCGATCTCTCCACACGCTGCGGCTGCAGGTTTGCGCGTGGCTGCTCTTAGCCAGCCGGTGGGGCCTGGAGGGGCTTGGAGGGACCTGGAGGGGCTGGTGGGGCTGGTGGGGATGGCTGGTACCCCAGTTACTGGTGTTTCCTGGGGAGGCCTGCTGAGGCCTGGGCGTGCCTGACGGTTGCCAGTGGAGCCCGCTGGCCGAGGCCACCACCTGCTTAAAGCAGCATCTCGTCCCTCTGAGGCCGGTCCCGTGTCCGAATGAGCAGCCCCCGGAGAACCGGCAGCCTAAGCCATTCATCTTCCCGGCAGCACCGCCGGGCGCGATGGGAGCTGCGCGCTGACCTGGCTCCGGTGCGGGGGGAGGGGGGGCACCCTGCGCCGCCGGCGGGCTGTGGGGAAGTGCACCCGAGCCGGGGCCTGGCGCACGGTGAGCGCTCCCGCGGCAGCAGGCGGCGGAGCGGGGCTCGCAGCTGGGGGTTAGCCCTCCTGGCGGGGGCGCTCCGAGGCCAGCTCCTTCCTCGGCCCCGTGGACCCAGAGCCCTAGGGACCCGAGAGCCTGAGCGCTCTGAGGGCCGCGCCTTCCCGGGCGGGGGCGAGGGCAGCCTGCAGGGCAGGTGGCCTGAGGAGGGCACACACATGGCCACGCTCACCCCTGGCGCACACAGCAACACAGTCACCCCCACACACTTACCCACACCCACATCCAACACTCACTGATACACACACATGCTGACACACAGGTGCACACACACCAACTCACACACAGGCACATACACAGGTGTATACACACAAACACACACAGGTGCACACACACCAACTCACACACAGGTGTATACACAGGTGCACACACACACAAACACACACAGGTGCACACACACCAACTCACACACAGGTGTATACACACAAACACACACAGGTGCACACACACCAACTCACACACAGGTGTATACACAGGTGCACACATACACAGACATACACAGATGCACACACACACAAACACACACAGGTGCACACACACCAACTCACACACAGGTGTATACACACAAACACACACAGGTGCACACACACCAACTCACACACAGGTGTATACACAGGTGCACACATACACAGACATACACAGATGCACACACACACAAACACACACAGGTGCACACACACCAACTCACACACAGGCACACACACAGGTGTATACACACAAACACACACAGGTGCACACACACCAACTCACACACAGGTGTATACACAGGTGCACACATACACAGACATACACAGATGCACACACACATCAACTCACATGCAGGTGCGCACCACACACACAGGTGTACACACGCATAGGTGCACACACACATAGGTGCACACACACACTAACTCACAAAAACTCCCTGATACACACACATGTACAGACACACCTAGCCACCTTCGCACACAGATACACACCGACACTCACACATACGGCCATACTCACCAACATACCTCACAGACACACATACATTCTCACATTGACACACTCACAGCAACACCCACACCCACACACGAACTCACCCTCCCTCACCGACATGCCTCATGGACACACGACACACACACACAGGGACACCCACACCCACTTTGACACTCAGTCTCATGCTGACAGTCACACACACACACACCCATGTACACCCACGCCGTCCTGAGACTCCTGTGCGCACGCTCACGCTGACTCACACGCTCCCAGTTTATTTCCTGTGGAAGCCGCCGCCCTCAGCCGCCCGCTGCCCTCCCCGCGCGGGTCTGAGCAGCCCTTGCACAGAGCTCCCCCTGCCTCCCTGCCTGCCCCCCACCCCCCCGCCGTCACGGGGGTGGGCTCCTGTCAGCCTGTGTGACGAGCGCGCACTTGAATGGTGCTGTTACCTAAGCTGGTGGGAGGGTGCGTGGGCCGCACCCCACATCGTTCTGCGTGGCTGTCCCAGCTCTGGGTTCACATGACACCCCCTGAGCCACCTGGGAGCTCAGGTCACACTGAGAGCCCCCCCCCCCAGGCAGTGCCCTTCCTCCCACCCCCCGGGGTGGAGGGGCGTGTGGGCTTCAAGGGCCCTGCCCAGGAGGTGAGGGGGGCCAGTGCCCACGGGCGCGGCAGAGCGGCTGTCGCACACCGGCCGTGCAGCCCAGCAGGCGGCGTGTGCCCAGCAAGACGCAGAGGCCACGGCGGCTGGAAAGGGCACATCCCACTGAAACACAGGAGGTGTGGGGGTGGGCGCGCGGGAGCGTGGGCCGTGCGGGCTCTGGACACGCCTGGTCTTCACCCCCCTACCCCCGTGCAGTCCACCAGGCGCCGTGCTGAGTGGACATCAGTCCCTTCTGACCTCCGAGGGGCCGCATGCTGAGGGCCGCCTGGTGGTGGCCTCTGACCCAGAGGAGCTGCCCGGCCCTCACCTCCCATCCTCGCTGCCCTGTCCTGTCCTGTCCTCTTCTGTTCTGTTCTGGGCGCTGCTGGACAGCGGACAGCCAGGGCCCGGGGCTCGGTGTCCCCTGAGCGGTGGGCGGTGGCTGCCCGCCCGCTCTGTGCCCTGCAGCTCCCTGCAGAGATGTGATGGGACATGCAGGCTGGGATTCAGCTCTTAGGACACGTGTGTGTACGTGTGTGTTTGTGTATGTGTGTATGAGTGTGTATGGTATATGTGTGTGGGGTGTGTGTGTGTGGGTGTGTGTGTATGTGTGTGGGGTATATGTGTGTGGTGCGTGTGTGTGTGTGTGTGTGTGTGGTGTGTATGTGTGTGTGTGTATGTGTGTGGGGGGTGTGTGTGTGTGTTCTTTTAATCTGAAATGACTAGGTCCAGAGAACAGCCTTGGACATGAGCGATGAGGGTTCCTGTTTCTGCTGTGAAGGGAGGATGGGCTCAGTCCCACGCTCAGGGACTGGGGCCTTGGTGGGGGGAGGGGATGGGAGGAGAGACCTCGCAGGGCCCCGCACTGACTGCCCTCTCTCTCCGCAGCCCCATGTCCGTGCGCTGGCCGGGCTGCGCACTGGGGAGCCAGGCCTGGGTGCTGATAGCCATGCTGCAGCTCGCCATGGACCTGCCGGCCTGCGAGGCGCTGGGCCCCGGCCCTGAGTTCCGGCTGCTGCCCCGGCCCTCGCCCCGGCCGCCCCGCCTGTGGAGCGTGAAGAGTGGACAGCCGGCCCGGATCCCCGCGCCCGTGTGGAGCCCGCGCCCGGCCCGCGTGGAGCGCAGCCACGGGCAGATGCCCAGCCCCCGCGCCAAGCGGGCGCACAGACCCCGGGACCAGGTGGCCGCCCTGGGGCCCAAGGGGGGGCTCACCAAGCCCCCCGCCACCGCCACCAAGCCCGGCCCTGCCCTAGGCCCCTCGCCCTCCTCCCCGTCGCCCCCCGTGGGTGGCGGGGCCCCCACGGACCAGCAGGCCCTGCTGCGGAGGGGCCGGCGGCAGCTGCCCGTGTTCAACGGCTTCGACCCGCACCCGCGCGGCGGCCGGCCCACCACGGAGGCCGAGTTCATCGTGTGGGGGCCCACGGGCGAGGAGGACGCCCTGGCGGCCAGCACGGCTCCCGACGGCCCCACCACGGCCTCCTACTTCCAGACGCGGAAGGCCACCGCCGCCACGGCCACCGCGGCCACGGCCACCACGGCCACCACCATGACGCTGCAGACTAAGGGGGTCACGGCGCCCCTGGACCCCAGGAGCAGGATCCCCGCTGGGCTCAGCACCACGGAGCCTTCCACCAGTCCCAGCAGAGACAGCGGCAGAGACACCAAGCCCCCGCGGATCCTGGGGGAGACCTCAGGTACGCCCCCCCTTCTCTGGTTGGGGTTCACTCGGAGGGTGAGGCTGGTGGGAGGGAGAGGCCTGGAGCGGGTGCCGGCCGCCGTGCTGTGGGAGAGATTGCCGAGCTCCCCCTTCCCCCGGACCAGAGCGCCGTGGTCCAGCATGGTGGTGGTCCTCTGGGGGGGCACTCAGGAGCAGATGTGGGCACGTCTGGGCAGTGAGGGTTCGGGGGAGCCTTCAGATGTCCCCAGAGCGTGGCTCTGCGGTGGCCGCTGCCCGATGGGGTGGGACGAGGCTCACTTTAGACAAAGGGGCTACCAGGGCAGGGGCAGGAAGGGCCTCCCGTGGGGTGGGAGGGGCGGCTGGGAGGTCCTGTCCTGGGGGCGTTGGAGGACGGGGAGCAGCTGGGACCCGGTGCCGGGTGCTGGGCGGGAAATGCCTCCTGTGGCGAGGTTTCCTTTTCCTTCCTGCCTGCACCGCGTCCTCCGATGGCTCCCGAGGAGGAGGGCTGAGAGAGCTCCCGGGCCAGGCCCGTCCCTCCCCCCGTGGCCCCTGAGTGTCCCCACCGCACGGCTGCAGGACAGCAGAGCAGGGCACCTCGGTCCCGGCTGCCTCCAGCCCCCTTTGCCAGGCCCCTCCCTCCGTGACCGGGTGCATAGATAGGACTGTGTGTGCGACAGCAGTACTTGCCGACTCGGGAGAAGGGGTGCCGTGTCCAGGGCATGAGCACAGGGGCGGGGACAGCAGCCTCTCCCACACCCGCTTGCTCTGCACATCCTAAGGTTTGGGGGCTCCTCGGGCCCTGGTGGGGCCTTCCAGAACCCATGAGGGGAGGGCTTGCTCCCCAGGGTCTGCCTGCAGCACCTGGAAGTTTCCCCTGCCCTCGACCCCTGCCCTCGTCACTGCATCCCTCGGAGCAGGCCGGCCGTGGCCAGCAGCGGGGCAGGCTTTGTGGAGCGCGTGGCTTTTGTTTCGTGGCCTACTTTCTCCCTTCCCGGGAAAGGCAGCGGCGGTTCCGCTCCTCTTCCCTAGAGAGCAGCATCCGATGAACACAGCGGAACCTGGCTCCCTCTCGGGGCGCGGGCAGGGCCGGGAGCTGGGGCGCCTCACGGGAATGCGTCTACAGGGCCCTGCACAGGCTGACTGCCTCCCTCACCCGCCCTCCCCTCCCTGTCCGTCCAGCTACTGGCCACGGCCTGCCAGCGGGCTGGGATGCAGACCTGAGGGCAGGCCTCAGGCGTCGGGCCCAGGGGCTGCTGTCCCTCATCTCTGAGCCAGGCCCCGGGCAGCTTGCAAAGCCCCCGTCTTTATCTCGGTCCGCTCGCACGCCGTCCTGGCGATGGAGGTGAGGACCGTCACCTCGGTTACCATCACCCCGAGGTCCCCGGCCCTGACTGTGTAGACACGGATGGGAACCCGACCCCGTTCCCTCCCATGACGTGTGTGACGGCTGAAGGACGCGCCGGGGACCGCGTTAGAAGGCTGCACGAATGAATTCCCGGGACATGGGATGTCGCAAATCCAACTCGGCAGCTGAGATGTTGGAAAAGATGCACAGTTCCCCTCGCAGAATCTGGTGCGGAATTAATTTGTTTAGCAAAACAGATGGAAGGGGGTAAATATGTGCGCGCGGGCGCAGAGCGGCGGTGATGCCGGGAAGGGAAGCCGGCTGGGCGGGGACCAGAGACCCTCGCTTTCCGGGCCCAGGCGAGGAGAGGCAGACATGGGGAGACGGTGCCTCTGACTGGGGGACCGCCCTGGCCAGCTGGTCCTACCTCTGGGCCACCATCCCCTGGGACACGGAGACCCCAGGCAGGCGTCCTCCAAGCCGCCCTGGCCTCCGCCATCACCACATGTGGTCCCGGCTCCTCGCTCTTTCCCGAGAGTGACGGCGGCTCATGCGTCTCAGGCCGAATTCAAAGAGACCCTGGGGGACCTCGGGGACAGTGCATGCTCGGCCAGTGGCCCCGTGTGAATCTGGGTTCTGCGGCGTGTGGCTCTGTGACACGGAGGTTCTTGTCTCTCTTTGCATTGCTGTCTTTATCCGCTCCGTTCAGTCTCTGCCTCTCCTGAGTAGCTGCTGTGAGGATTCGGTGAATGAACAAACGTGAGACGTGGTGCCTGGCATCCGGGAACCTCCGTGCACACCAGCTGTTTTATACCCAGCGAGTGGGCTCCGAGAGCGGAGGTGCAGGTGTCAAGGGCCATACGCTGCCAGGGACCTGGGAGTCCTGTCACCTCAGCAGACCCATCTGTGCTCACTCACGGCCAGGGGCACCCTGAAGGCTGGCATTCGGGTTCCAGGAAACAATAGAATTCATGAGGGCAGTGCTCCTGGCCACGAAGGGATGCTTGGGACCAGATTGTGGAGCTGTACGTTTATGTTGGCGTCTGTAGAGACATGTAGAGACAGAGCATGTTAAGTTCCTGTCTGTCCACACCACAGGCATTGGGGGTGTAGAAAGGGCAGGGGCTGTTGATTGGGGGCACTCGGCAATTTCTCGGGAGCGAACATGACATGGGATACTGATTGGAATCGTCAAAGCTCCCCCCTCCACCCCGTCCCCCTGTAAGTGAACTGCTTGGGCAATCCTCCTGGTTTTGGAAAGTGGTTACAGGGGCCATTGCTTGCCTTCACATCCTTGACATTGTCTTGTATGAGCTGTGCAAACTCGGGCAACTTGCTTGTCCTCTCTGTGCCTCCGTGGAGATGGCGGAATTAAGCATCTGGTGATGTTGTGAAGGTTCAGTGAGACAGTACCTGCCGGGCACATTAGCTGCTTGGTACGTGTTTGCTGCTGTTTCGATGATGATGATGATGGTGGTGATGCAAGTCATGACAGTGATGACAATGGCAGTGTGATGCTGATGGATATGATGATGGTGATGGCGATGGTGATGGTAGTGGTGATGATGGTGATGGTGATAATAGTAATTATGATCATGCTGATGGTGATGTTAATGGTGATGGAGATAGTGATGGTGATGATGGAGATGGGGAAGATGATGGTGATGATGGTGATGGAGATAGTGATGGTGATAGTGATGAGGATGGTGATGAAGGCAGTGATAATTATGATCATGATGATGGTGGTGGTGATGAGATGGAGATGGTGATAATGGTGATGAGATGGAGATGGTAATGTGATGGTGATGGTGATGGTGATGATGATGGAGATAGTGGTGGTGCTGATGATAGTGATGATGGTGATGGTGATGATGGAGATGGTGATGATGATGGTGATGATGATCATGATGATGGAGATGGTTGTGGTGATGATGATAACGATGATGGTGATGATGTTCAGATATGGTGATGAAGGCAATGATAATTACGGTGATGATGAGATGGAGATGGTGATGGTGATGACGGTGATGATGGAAGGTAGTGATGATGGTGATGATGGTGATGGAGATGGTGGTGGTGATGATGATATTGATGATGATGGTGATATGGCGATGAAGGCAATGATAATTATGATGGTGATGGTGGTGATGATGGTGGTGATGGTGGTGGTGATGGTGGTGATGGTGGTGATGATGGTGATGATGGTGGTGATGGTGATGATGGTGGTGATGGTGGTGATGGTGGTGATGATGGTGGTGATGGTGGTGGTGGTGGTGGTGATGATGGTGATGATGGTGATGATGGTGGTGATGGTGGTGATGATGGTGATGATGGTGATGATGGTGATGATGGTGGTGATGGTGGTGGTGATGGTGGTGATGGTGGTGGTGATGGTGGTGATGATGGTGGTGATGATGGTGATGATGGTGGTGATGATGGTGGTGATGGTGATGATGGTGGTGATGGTGATGATGGTGGTGATGGTGGTGATGATGGTGATGATGGTAATGATGGTGATGATGATAATGATGATGGTGATGATGGTGGTGATGATGGTGATGATGATGGTGATGATGGTGGTGATGGTGATGATGGTGATGGTGATGATGGTGGTGATGATGGTGATGATGATGGTGATGATGGTGGTGATGGTGATGATGGTGATGATGGAGGAGGTGATGATGATCATGAGATGGAAATGGAGATGGTGAGGACGGTGATGATGGAAGATATGATGATGATGATGATGGTGATGAGATGGAGATGGTAATGGTGACGGTGATGATAATGACATTTATTATCTTTGTGGTGATTTGCTGCTTTGTTGTGGAGTCATCTGATGAGGTCATTTGATGAGGTTCCACGTCCTCACCCCTGACCTTGGTGCTTTGTGCAGAGGCAGAGACGGCACCGGCAATGGAAATTCACCCCGCTCAGGCTCCCCAGGGCGCTGAGCCCCAGCCGCCATGGTGCTGGCAGAGGGTGCGTGTCAGGTGGGCTGGGAGTTCACTCGAGGCCGCGAGAGGAGGCCTCCCAGTGCGAGCGCCCGCTCCGATGACAGCTCTCTTGCTGGCCATGTTCTGAGTCTGTAATCACCGAGCCTCCTGGGAGGAAAATGGAAAGCCATTTCCTGGGCTTTAATCTCACAGCTCGTAAAGGCGCCGCGGGGAATGGAAGCAGCCGAGTCCCATGACTGCCGGGCCCGCGGCGAGTCTCCGGGCCCCGGTGCTCGGCGACAGCTCGTGCCTGGGGCGGCCTGCCCGGCCCTGGCTTCTGAGCCTCTGCCCGCGGTGCCGGGGCCGCAGCCTCTCCCACCCGCTCAGACCCGTGGGCACGGTCCTCAGCGGAGGGGCGGCCTGCTCCGTGGTCCCCACTGTCCTTCAGGGATCGCTCCGTTCGGGATCGGTCTCCCAGCAGCTCCCGGCGCCGGGCTCAGAGGTGACCGCGGCCCTGCCTGGCGCCGTCGCACCGGAACCCGCTCCGGCGTTCCCAGGGCTGATGTGCGAGTCGCTTGGTCCCTGTCACCAGGGCCTCCTGTCCCCGTGTGGCATCCCTCCGTCCGTCAGCGGGAGGGACAGCTGGCCCCCTCTCCTCTCCTCCAGGGGTCACCTGACCGAGATGTGGAACCACCTGGGGAGCAGGCCTCGTGATGACGTCACTTTTTGGGGGAC